AGTAGTGCCTAAAGATTACTTCGTGCGGCTATAAACGACCGTTAAATGAAATAATGACTTTTTGAAGGATTTCGAAAAACGGAAAAAATGATAGTCATGCCGGCCCAGCATCATCAACATTGAAAAATGCCCTGGCATGAAGTGGTTAAGGCTTTGGTGAAATGACCACTAGCATAAACAACCGACTGACAAGCAGCCGTCTTACGGGTGCATGTTGAGCTTCCACAAGACATGTCACTTACGGATTTCATTGTAATAAAATTCTGAGTTGTCTGTCTTAAGAGAGCAGTCCAGCCTTGCTTTCTTAAAGGTGACGAAGTCCCCATCCAGAGTTGTGAATTCTGCTCCCCCGGTATCATTCTGAAATATTCCAGGACACAGAAAATAATTCCCAAATGACTCAAAGTCATTAGAACGGCGATGACAGCATTCATAGCTTCTTCTTGCCAACGTTCGAAACAATGTTGTTATGTACATAACTATAGAATGTCCTCCACACCCCTTCAGTATTAACTGTGTGTCTGTGTGTGTATGAACTAATAATGATACAATCTTGTTGCACACGGTCCAATTTTATCGTAAATTAAATTCTGAGCTTCTCTTTCAGGGAGCAGTCTAGCGTTGCTTTCTCAAACGGGGTTTCTACAAAGATCCAAAAACGTATTGACTTTTTCTAGACTTTCCAGGACTTAATTATAACAATTTCCACAACATTAAATGTCACTCTGCAGGTTTGGTATTATGAATTGGAAAGACTGCCATAGCCACTGCTATAGACCGCCGAGGATAGCCTGTAAATTTATGGTTATTTCATTATCACATTGAAAGTGGCCCATCAAATATAACCCTTGCATGATCTTTATTTTCACAACTTTTGCTTGACTTTCCAGAACGTTTTTTCCAGGATTTTTAAGGACCAAAGGAAGTAATTTGAAATGCAGGTACCGGTTACTAAACTTCATCAAAACATGAAAGCAGTGTTTACATCCCACAATCTTTTCCGGGCAACAGTTGGAAACATTAAGAGGATTTGAAATACCCACTGGACTGTTGGACCAAGTTCGACGAATTTGAATGCTACAGTAGTCTTGAGCATCGATATCGATACAAGCCTGGCTGTCTAGTGCTTCTTTTAACACACTGGAATTTATCTACAGACTATTAGGAACTTCCAGTAAACTAAAAGGTATCAGCTGACATAAAATAGCACACTGCTTAGTTTTCTTAGAGACCAGGGTGCATGTAAAAGTACGTAGACTGCATAACTTTCCAGACAGTACATGTTTACCTTCAGCAAAACAGTGGGTTCCTTCATTTTATTACTTGGATGTAGTACGTGTGTGCGTGTTCCGGCTCAGTGAATTTAATGAGGTACTTGCCCCACAGTCCTGTTGTTTTTGTTTGTTTATTTCCCATGAAACTCGACCCCTGCAAACCACAGGTGCTGGTATGTAACTACTGTAGATGCACCGGTACCAAGCAAACCACTTCCAAACAGAGTACCGAAGTGTGACGTCACTGTGAACCAGAAAGTGCAGTGCAAACGAATGGAGTACGTGTGCATGTGGGTTCACGCGCTGACTCTCGCTGTAATGCCTTTTACATACACACTTGTACGCGTGACGTAGACGCTTCGGTACTCTATTTATCTGTTCAAATGGTCTAATTCTGAGTTACCCTTCAACGAGCCGTCTGGCTTCTTAAAGATAAAGAAGAGCTCCACATGTAAGTATCAGAGTATCTTTTTTAAAAGCTCTTGGAATGCACATGTACATGTCTGGAACGCTCATAGCATTAAATACAGGTCATTAGTGAAGGACAAGAAAAGCAACATCTGTTCCAAGCCATTTGGCTCATCATTCCAGGGTTTATCTCTGGTGTCCTCAAAATGGCTGAGAATCTTTCTGATCTCCCCCCTGGATGGGATGCAAGTCCATTTGAGGTTGCTTCCCAACTGACGCTGGTACCCACTGAGGGGTGAGGCAACTTGTCCAAGGCCACAACATAGCACCACCAATTTGATTTGAACCCCTGATGACCCCGTAATCAGAATTGCGAGTGATTTCGTAAGGTTAACCGGTCTTCGGCGGGCTGAACAGATGTCCATTTGGATGCATAGTCACCAGCTCAAAACTGACCTGACAGACCCTTGCAATTCTTGAATAGACTATCCGTCCGGCTCCATTAATAGCCTCTGAAGCGTATTCACGATAGAAGAAATAAATGAAGCCGTTGTACAAAAATGGCTCACCCACAAACTCCGCCCCTGCAGAAGGTACAGGCATAACAAAACATTGACACGTAGTTTCCGCTGCCAACTTTGATATTCCACAAATGAGACTGAAAATTAGCACGTGTCTAGAAATCAACATCTCGTAAATAAAAGGCAGAGCAATATTTCTAATAATTCTAATAATTCTAATATTTATATTGAGAAAAATTAATAATTTATAGGTGATTGCATGTGGCGTGATGCCACCTTAAAAAGCACTGGACTCTTCACGAGCTAATGCCCTAGGAACTGTATGAAATGAAAAAAAACAGAGCGCATAAAAATAAATAATACAATTTTCATTAAACAATTTAGATGTTACGATAAACACACGAGAAAGAGCAGATTGGGTTCGGCATTTTGACTTACAGTTTAACCAGTTAGGGGTGGTGGTATCAGCCGTGATATCGCTACCGTAAGCCCCATTGCAGCCTGTAAGATCAGCCAAGCGGAAAGTAGAGGAGTCACCTCCGCCAAAGGGATCCCGTAAGCCAACGGCTGTGAACAGTTTCTTCTCTGAATTAAAAAGAAAAACGAAAAGAAAAACTATTAGTGACATTGTCAGCAAACACGTAACCTAATCCAAACTTGTTTAGCAAGCCGTAGCTGCAGTTTTGTACACTGCAAACAATACGGCATTTCTCGGTCACAAGAATTGTCCTGCTTTTAAAATGTGGGATTCAGTTCTTCACTCATTTCCAATGCCCTGTGCAGGGTGCCGGGAGGGGCTGCTATTTTTTTTCAGTCGCTGAACCAGGTCAATCTGAACAACAATACGGGTCAACACTTCGGTATGCAGGCGCATGCGTTGACTGGGGCAGCAAGCAGCCCACAATGCTTTGTGTCCCACAACCATC